TCTTGTTCCTACATTAGATTGATTTTCTGCTAAATTCATGGAAGGAGAATTTCTATATAAGGTCATGACTCAATGATTAAAGTACATGTGTTTTTGGAAGTTGAGTTGAAATGATGCATTCTGGATAATTTCGAGGACGAAATTTCTTTTAAGAGGGATAAAATGTAACAACCGCGATTTTTTTAAGAGACATGTTATATATATATATATATATATATATATATATATATATATATATATATATATATATATATCGTTAGTTATTTATATAAGGAGATAAAGCTATCATCTAATTTATTTTGAAATTTAAAGGAGTTTTAATTAAACTCAACCACTGGATATATATGTATATGTCTAGAATTAGTTGTATTAAGTTTTTACCTACGTTGCTATCCCGAGGATTCTACGCGTTCGTTGTTGTGAAGCGAAGAAAAGTCAGACAAGTTAATTCTTACTTGTAACCCCTTTTATATATTTGTGCTAAGATCACTATTTATGATTTAATTATAGAATTCATGAATTTTGATTTAGTTAGAATGGTGGAGATTGCATATAGAAGCACTGAGTTAATCTGATGTTATAGATTTGTATGATGCTATATTCTGTACTTCTGGATTATTCTTATATAATGATAATGTGGAGAATTACTAGTGATGTTTACAAGTCATTTTGGAATTTTGTCAATCTCTAATAGAATTAGCTTTGAATTTATGACGCATCTTAAATTTGACATAGTTTATGTGTTATTATTCCTCTGTTATCTCATAATGGTTATCCTAGTGATAAGCTTGGGTAGATTGTTTTGATTTATTAATTGTATTTAGATAATCATGATTTAGAGAGAGACTGATATTATTGCAGGGGTTGGGAATTATATATCAGTTAAATTGATTACATGTATTGGACATTTGTGTGGCCTGTAATAGAGCACTATAGTGCATATGTATTCATAGACGACACAGTACCTATATTTACATAGATTAGGTTTCTAGTTTTGTTGTCGTTAATATAAATTATTTGTTTCATAACCTGTATAGTCAGTAGCAAAAGAGATATTGAACCAAGATGAGATGAATATTTTTAACCAATTAAGGACTGGTTTATGGGTTATGGGACCATGTTCGTAGCATATTTAACAGATGTTGTCTTAATAGAGTATAAGTCATTGTGTGATTTGAAAAAGAGTAAATGCTTGGAGTTCTGTATTTTACAAAGAATGGAAATTGCTTTAGTTATCACACATGAATTGATAATGGTGATTAAAAGTATTAAATTATTAGAGTAATGAATAAGATGATGGTGGTGGTTGGCAGTAAATGGGTTTTGAGATTTTGCATGTCATGAATACACTAGTACTGAATGTTGGATTATTGATCGGGAGATAACTATTTAATAATCTGGTGTAAGAATCTATTTGGGAGGATTATGAACTCTTGATGTTGTGTATGTGTTGTACATAAATATTATGAAGAATTCAGAGATATATCTAATAGATGGTATTTTATTGCACACATATATGTGGATTAGTTGTTCAATTAGTTCAACTTGGCTGTTGGTAGTTTTGCGTCTATGGTATATATAATCCATGGTTATATAGGTGTCAATTAAGGATCCGTGGATTTCCATAAATAAATTGAACTAGTATTAGAAGTTAAGCCATGGTATAGATGATGGTGAGTGTAGTTAAAGTTAACTCAGATTGGCTGATAATAAGGGTGATTTTTAGAATGTAAGTTAGCAGGTTGCAAAATCTAAGACTACGAGTATGTTATGGAATGTTTTTATTTATTAATTATTTAGGTAATTAATTAAGGTATTTGGTGTATTCGGGAAATTATGAGTTATGATTACTAAATGGTAAAGATATTTATTAAAGCAATGCTTTTGGTATTTAGATGAGGTATATAAACTAGACGGAGCAGTAGTTCGGGACTAACCTCTTAATGATTGGTCGAGATTATCAGATCAGTTAGGCATGGTCAGGGACCAACCTTATGCGAGTGCACTATTTTGTGCTATGGCCATGGGTCTAATGAGCCCTTATTGTGTGGACATGATCAGGGATCATATAGGTGAGTAGACGTACAACCCAGCCACATGTGTGCAATTGGTAGTTAGGGACTATGCAATTCACACCATTTAATCGGAGTGGAACCAGGGGCTCATGTGAGGTAATGGCATTAGAACACCAACTGATTAAGGGGATCCGGGGGCTCATGTGAGGTAAGTGGAATTTTAGTAATTTAAATTCTTGATGGGTTATAAGTTCACAGTATGAGTTAATGTTATAGAATGACGATGATTAGTAAATATTTTCGTGGTCACTTATATATGTATATATATATATACGGATTAAGTAAGGATTGACTTACTGAACGATGATAGTGTTTAGCAATTTCTTACTGAGCTTGTGAACTCACCCCTTTATTTCTTTCAGGTGCACATGGATTTAGCTTGCAAAGGAGACTCAATGGGAGATGGAGATTTTCCGGATTTCCACATATTGATTTTATTATTGTTTCTTAGCAAACACTTTGTAATAAGATTCATTTAGTTGGTGAAATTTTTATTAGTTGGGGTTGTAATAAATTTCCTTTAGATTAATGGATTTTTAAATACAATGTATCTTACCGTTTAATCATGGATTATTGTGGATGAATAATGTGAGTCACGTACCAGATTTTAGTATAAGACAACGGTTCTTGTGTTAGAATTTTTGGGGCATGATGGATTTTTAAATACAATGTATCTTACTGTTTAATCATGGATTATTGTGGATGAATGATGTGAGTCACGTACCAGATTTTAGTATAAGACAACGATTCTTGTGTTAGAGTTTTTGGGGCGTGACAGTTTGGTATCAGAGCATGACCTAGCTGGAAGTGTGTTGATGGGGACGTCGGGCCTCCAAGGGTGGTGGATTGTGATGACCTTGTGGGCGGGTGTGCCGTGGGCGGGTGCGAGAGACACTGTCAGGCTACCACGCTGGCGAGTTACGGGTGCACAGTCCCACATCGCCTGGGTAGAGGAAAGGTGAAGTGCTTATATGTAAGTGTGTCATCTCTAATTGGTATGAGGTCTTTTGGGGTGAAATCCAAGAGCAAAACTGTGCGGGCTCAGGCCTAAAGCGGACAATATCATACCATGTGGTGGAGTGGGTCGTTACAAATGGTATCAGAGCCTAACCCAGCCTGAAGTGTGCCGACGGGGACGTCGGACCTCCAAGGGGGGTGGATTATGATTACCTTGTGGGCGGGTGTGAGAGATATTATCAGGCTACCACACTGGCGAGCTACGGGTGCACAGTCCCACATCGCGTGGGTAGATGAAAGGTGAAGTGCTTATATGTAAGTGTGTCATCTCCAATTGGTATGAGGCCTTTTGGGGTGAAGTTCAAGAACAAAACCGTGCGGGCTTCGGCCCAAAGCGGACAATATCATATCATGTAATGGAGTGGGTCGTTACAATTATCCACTATATGCGAACTTGGCGAATGGAAGATGTTTGGGTACAAGGTTTGCACAGAAAATTGTTTTCCGTTAGGATTCGTTTGATTAGGTGGAATCAACTAGAAAAGAAAGGAAAGAGAAAAAATTTAAATTTTTTTAGAGTTTGGATAGAAGGAAAAAGAAAAAAAAAAGAAGAGAAAATCTAGTTTCCCGCATCGGTCTATTTGTCCCAGAAAAATTTTAGGCACAAAATACGCGAAAATAGTATTTTTCCCGTGAAAAGAGTCCTTTTTATTTGACTTTCCTATTTTATCCAACTAATTTGTTTGTATTTGTTGTTGGGTAATTATCTCTTTTGTGACTTTGTGAGTTTTCAACAACTATTTTTATGAAGCAATAATTTTTTTTTTCTTTCAATAAAATAGGATAGGTGCATCTTTTTTAGTAAAATCCACGTATCTAATGGGAAGGTTCAAAATAAAAGAAAAAAAATATTAATATTTAGTTGAGCCTCCTCTGCTCTCTAATTATGTGTAATCCAACCTTTGAAAATTAGTTTGCCTTATTTTATTATAATTTTTTTTTTTTATCATCTATTGAACAATATTTATTTTTTAAATTTTAACGGATATAAAAGTAATTTTGGTAAGTAGAATTATTATTATTTTTTACTTTCATCCTACCCAAATTAATAAAATCATATTTTATCATAACTTTTTTTTTTTTTTTGATAAGTAAATATTTTATTATAACTTTCTCGAAAGACTTTAATACTAACCAAATTCATGGTAAAATAGAATTTGCTTCTAAATAGAATTTTTTATTTTTTTTAATTCTCTATTCTATGTTGCAATTCTAGCTACTTATAATCCGGTATGGATATATATATATATATATCTTTTATATGGTGAAATATTTAATTTTCTCCCAACTAGTAGTCTCTAATTTTTTTTTTTAATTTGTTTATCTTAAACTAATAATTAGTTTTACCTAGAAATATTATGAAGCCTTATTCTAAATATAAATAATAAAAATAAATATAAACAATTATATATTTAAATTTAATAATTTATCATTTTAATTCATAAGGGTAGTTTTGGTATGCATAATCACTTTCTTTTCACTTTCATACTATCCAAACTAACAAAATAATATTTTTTTTACAATTTTCTTGGATAAATTTTTATACTAACCAAATACATAGTAAAATTTTTTTTTTCTTTTCATTCACTTTACTTTTCTTTCACTTTCTATTCCTTTTCTTTTCTAACTTATTTCTTTCTAAACCAAACATAGCGTTTCGTTTGAATCCTCAAACCGGCAATCCCGCAATATTGAAGGGTCCTGTATTTTAGTTTTAGATTACAAGAAGAATCATTATGGACCCGGGTCAGAGTCAAAGGACCTAAAGGTAAATTTGATCACTTCAGAAAAAAATAGTGGCAGAGTTGAAATAAAATGAAAAACTATGGGCTTCTAGAAATAAAGCCCGGAAGGTTTAGCTGGTGGTTTGGTTGGTTGTATCGCCTAGTCGTATATATAAAAACTGCCTTACAAGAAAAACACCAAACGCAACGCACACAAAAGAAGAAGAAGTGGTGAGTAGGTAAACCGAGAGTGCGCTCAAAGTTAGCAAGCAGAGGAAGAGAAATTGCAATGGATTCAGATTTCGGCATACCTAGAGAACTCTCCGATCTGCAAAAAATTCGATCTCTTTATCAACCGGAACTTCCTCCGTGTCTGCAGGTTTCTCACTCTTCCTCTCTCTCCATATTTAGGTATATGTATCTTCTTTTGGGATACGATATGTGTAATTGTATATGTTTTTCTGATTCGTTTTATTATATCAACATTCATGTACTCTTTGTTTGAACTAATCGTTGCACACTTTGGATCTCTCGTTCATTGTTTTGTTTCTATTCAAATGGAATGTTGGATCTATTTAGTCATCGAATCGCTGATTCAAATTTGTTCTCATACTCGTCTTGATAGTTTGGATATACATTGAAAAACAGATTTCACACTCCAGATCATGTATTTCTTACTATATATTGTCTTGTTGCTCAGTATTGATTCACTGCACTCTGTTTGCATTTTCTTATGACTACTTGGGATTGCAGAAGATTTCGATCTTATTATGTAGTAAAGCAGCTATGATTGAGACCTACCGGCTAAGTTTGAATGTACAATTGGAGTTGAATTCTGTGTATATACTGATTGGTACCTTGGTTCGGCGAAACCCCCAAATAGGCTAAGAATAATGGACACAACAAGGGACACAGTCACACACACGAAATGGAGAATTTGAAAAAAAAGTAGGACACTGACAGGGACATGGCAACAAATGACATACTTATTATATAGAAAATGGCAACAAATGACATACTTATTATATAGAAAATATAGTATATACTATAAATAAATGTTCCTTTACTGTAACTTGAATTTTTTAACTTACACATATTATAATTATAATATAATCATCTATGTCGCATATTGAAATATATATATATATATATATATATATATATATATATATATATATATATGCATGTATGTATCTATGTCGATGTTTATACACAATCTGATAACTCCTCTCCTACTCGCATGCTCACTCCTTCAATTAAATGTTATTTCTTCACTTTTTAGATATGGTCAAACTTTATCAAAAGTTTCTATAAGCCTTTTAATTTGAATTTTTTTACAGCAATACTTTTTCCATACTAAACTAATGTTTTATCCAATGTTTGAGTTTGTACAAAAACAGAAATTGTCTTTTAAAATAATGTTTAGAAGTGACAAGAAGTGCCGTGTCCAACGCTGTCATGCCTCCTTAGAATGTCTGTGCTTCTAAGCGGAATGGATTCTTCTTGCCTTGCTGGAGAGTTTTGATATTGACCGAGTTACTTGGAGATGATTTTTTTTTTTTAATTTTATAAGCTTAGAGGTAAAGGATGAGAAAAAGCTTATCATCAAACTGATTGTCATACTAATCCCATCCTGAGGTTAGCAGTTGGTTTACATAATGAAGTTGGAGTAGCCCATCTAGCTTAGTTTTACAGTGAGCTCAATAGATCAGACTATACATGTTGAACGCTTGGATTCATGCCGGCATTAACACATGTACCGAGTCCACGCAACTAGATTATCAGTGTTTTATAATTTAGCTGTCTTATGTCAACTTCATACTCATTTGAATGTATTTTGTCTTTCACACCTGCTAAGTGTCACCCAATCAGACTTCCAGAAACATCAGTTCCTTTCTGAATATAATGTTATTTGTTATTGCACCTTAATAGAAAATTTCTTTTGTGTAATTGTTCATTGGACTTCGAATTTTTAGAGCAAGAAATAAAAAACATCAGTTCCATTCTCAATGAACATTAAGTGATGTGTTGACCCATAAATGTCCTTGTCATTAACTCTGAAAAAGATGAACTTTTAAGTTTAAAATAATGCATCATACTATCTTCCAAATATTTCTTGGTTTCTTTCACCTTTGATATACTGGTTGATTGCTTGTTTGTATATACCCTAGTAATGTTCTTTCTTTCTTTCTACTGCATTTCTGTCTTTTTTTCCCCCTCTGTGGGATTTGGGGGGGGGGGGGGGGGGCGGGGGGGGGGGGGTTGGTTCTTGGGTTATATTTAGAAGACAATGGAAAGTTAAATTCACATAACAATGTCCGACAGTCTAATCATTCACAAAGTTACAAAGTCCAACAGGCTTGCAAAAGAGCAGAAGAACTTCTTGGAGACTAGCCTATAAATTTAGATATTTGATGCTACCCCAATATTTTTCCTTTTTAAGATATTCTTTTCTTTCTTTGTCTTTTCCATTACATAAGCTAGCAACTCAGTATCTATCTATTGTTTGGATCTCTATGCTTTCTTGCTTTGAGCTTTCTGTTTCATTTTCAGAGTGTTGTTTGATTTGTTTTGATTAAGGGGATTTACAAGAGCTGTGACGAAGTTCTTGTTTGTAACAGCAAAAGATGGAAAAAGCATTATGCCCCTTTTCGGCTTTCAAGCCTGAAAGAATTATGGTGGACATCATATGTATCTAAGTTTTATGTGTATGAACAAAGATCTAGATGTCAGACTGTAATTTGCTATTTTCGAAGATGTAGTTACTTCCTATGCAGTTGTGGAATAATCTTTTAAATACACACATCCATAGTATATTGTAATTTTTATCAATTTTTATAGCATATCTTACTCAAGTTATTGCAAAATTTTAAATGAATTAAAGATAGAAAATGTTTTAGTCTCATTTAGTTGTTTGTTATAACATATTTTTGCATGCGTTTACTTTAAAAGAGCTTGGCATAATATAGGTTATGTGCTGAGTCCAATGTTTTTGCTATTGAATTGTTTTAGCTATGAAGGTTAGGCTGTATTAATTTTTTCCAGATGCACAATGCATGAAAAGTAAAAAAAGTTTAAAGGAGTTTTGATGGCATGGTCAAATTTCTTGTTTCACTGTCCTTGATAATTGTTCTAAAATGGATATCCACCCTTGATCCTTTTATATTTCTTGTCGATGCCTTCTAATTTTGGTATTGAATGTGTTGTTGTGTGTGTAGAAACATTGATATACTTGCATCGCTTGGTCTGAATTGGGTTCTTGATATTTTGATTTTGATGTGTTGGCATGTTTGCTGAGCTTTTATTCTTGTAATTTCATGTCAACAGGGAACCGCTGTCAGGGTAGAATTTGGTGATGCAACTGCTGCTGCAGACCCGTCTGGTGCCCACACCATAAGTCGAACCTTTCCGCACACATACGGACAGCCTTTGGCTCATTTTCTTAGGGCGACTGCAAAGGTCCCTGATGCCCAAATAATTACTGAGCATCCAGCAATTAGGTACACATTTCATGATCATCATCTTTGTTTCTTTGCAAAGCATGTTCCTACAGTGGCATAATTTGAAATTAAAATGTCTTGAAGATGAATCCATATGATGATTCTGCTGAGCACATTTGAACCTAATTCAGTCTGCTATTACAGTTTTAATCCAGGAAAAATCCCTCTGAGGCTGACCTCAAGGGAGGGCAATTGAACTCAAAACCTCCACCTTATAAGTGTACTTCTTAACCAACTCCTCCACCCCTTTTGGGTTATTACTTAATGTTGTGCTAGATTTCTTGACTTTTCTTTGACACAGTGCTCTAATTTTAGTGGACATCATGAGAAACTAGTTGCATTATAGAAGCAGTTGCTTTACTCTTTGCATTATTTCTGCATTATATATTGTAGCAGGAATGAATTATTTTCCTAATTTACAGGGGTAAAGAGGAACGTCTATACACATGCAATAATATAGTTAGCAATAGAAATTTGTAAACATCGTTGTTCTTTTGTTTTCAGGGTGGGATTGGTCTTCTGTGGGAGACAGTCTCCTGGAGGACATAATGTTATATGGGGTCTCCACAATGCTCTCAAAATTCACAATCCTAACAGCATATTACTTGGATTTTTAGGTAAGTGGTTTTCTCTTTTTTCAGTTCTAACATTTAGTTTTCTGTTTTATGCATGGACCTGTATGCAATTACAATTTTATACATATATTTGTTTGTTTCTCTTGAAAATGAATCTTTTGACTGTTATGGAAGTACAATTTTGTTTATTCATCTTATCACCTGATCAGATGGGCACTCTGTGGAAGCTGTTTACATATCCTAGTTTCTCTGTTGTAGTATCAGACACAGGCACATAATGCTCTAGTTTCCTTAGGTGTTTATAGCAGTTTACAACCCAAATATCCTTTGGTTTACTTGACAAACAGCACTCTCTCTACATATATCTTAATATTGGCTGGCATCTAAGAACAAACCTTTTTATTTGAACTTTTCATTTTGATGATTTGTGTATTTCTGTTGATAAAAATGATATCGATCTATTTATCTTAAAGGACTCTTTTATGCCTATAACCAGGTGGTTCTGAAGGTTTATTTGCACAGAAAACTCTTGAGATCACAGATGATGTTCTTGCAACCTACAAAAATCAAGGTAGTAATTAGCACCATATCAATTTCACGATGAGATTTCCATTTTTCTATCTAGACAGAAATTTATGATGCTGTCATTTGTTAGGTGGTTATGATTTGCTGGGACGGACAAAAGATCAAATAAGAACAACTGAGCAAGTTAATGCGTCACTGGTTGCATGCAAAACTTTGAAGTTGGATGGTCTGGTTATCATTGGAGGTATATTGATGCTCTTTTTTAATGTTTACCATACACATTCAACACATAGTAAAGGCTATTAGCACATATTTGTCCCACAAATGTGGGGTAATAGGAGGGGTGGACTCGTTATATACCTAATATTTGGGTATACATTCAATATAGTATTGTAAAATTTTTAATATGAAGTTTTTTTGCTTTTGAAGGGGTAACATCAAACACAGACGCTGCTCAGCTTGCAGAAATATTTGCAGAAGCAAAATGCCCAACAAAGGTATTTTGTGCATTTTGACAAATTTATGTTAAAAGAGATTAGTTTTTGAATTGTATGGAAGTCCCAGTTCATAAAGATTTATTTATTTGTTACGTCGAACTAGTTTTATTCAGATCCTGAATGTTTTTGTTAATAAAACTACCATGATGTTTTTGCAACAATATCCCGATATGTTTCATTCATGATAATTTGGATTTTCAGGTAGTTGGGGTTCCTGTTACTTTAAATGGAGATCTCAAGAATCAATTCGTTGAAACAAATGTGGGCTTTGATACAATTTGTAAGGTATTAGTCTTATGGTCCTGACAGTTTACATTTAATTATTAGTTTAAGAAATTAAATTTTGCAATTGAATGAAGTCACATGATCTCCATTGTTTTCTTGCACTCTGTTTTTTTATTTATCCAAAAGTAAATGCAAACTCTATACTTTACTCCTCCTCCTCTTCCAAGCACTGAAAGAACAATGCTGGCAAATTATCAAGATCTTTTTTAACATGGAATGTGATCACTCTATAGGGCTGAGTAGAAATTACAACTTCGGAGAAGCCTATCATCAATTCATTATCATATATATATATATATATATATATATATATATATATTTCTCCTTTTGATTAGTGTACCTATCAAGTATCAACTTTTCAGTTTTGTATTATTCCACTGTATATGTAACATTAATACAACTTGCCAAATTATACACCACACTCCTAAATTTAAGAGTGGTACCATAATATGATTTGTGATATAAAAGAATTCCAGACGACGACTTGTTCGCTTTCATTTTTTTTTTCCTTCTTGTCTGTTTATTATTGTTGTTATTATTATTATTATATTTATTCTTGTTGTTGTTGTGGTGGTGGTGGTTGTTGTCTGATAATACATGCAATTCAACATTTTGGAGTGAGAAATTAAAGCCTTATTCTGTCTTATTATATTCAGGTTAATTCGCAGCTTATTAGCAACGTCTGCACTGACGCTCTTTCAGCAGAAAAGGTAATTTTCTAAATTCATGTAATGCATATACTCCTGAGAGGCAACTGCTCGTAGTATAAGTGATTAAACAAGAAAACCTCATTCAAACTTGTAGTACCATATGCGCTTTTATCCTGCATGAGTATTGTGCCTTTTACTCTGCTTTTCTTTTCTTTTTGTTTATGTTGTTGCCTTTTTTGCAAAAACTGAAATATTATTATTTTTCGTTCTTCTAGTATTACTATTTTATTCGACTTATGGGCCGGAAGGCATCACATGTTGCTTTGGAATGCACCCTTCAGTCACATCCAAATATGGTTTGTATTCCTTGTATTTCATTCCCTTGATTTGATATTGCTATTAAGAGGTGCTGCCTTCTAGATATTCCTTCTTCTTGAATAGCTCTGGATGCGTTCTTTGTAGGTCATTCTTGGTGAGGAGGTTGCTGCATCAAAGCTCACTCTGTTTGACCTGACACAACAAATTTGTGATGCAGTGCAAACCAGGGCAGAACAAGGTTTGGAATTCTAGATTGATTCTGTTTTCTAATCAATTATAATTTTTGTTGTTATCTGATCCATTTTTGTGTTTTTGGACCAGACAAAAACCATGGTGTCATTCTACTACCAGAGGGGCTTATAGAAAGCATTCCTGAAGTGTATGCTTTATTACAGGTAAGCTTTGCAGGTTATTTTCACTGGAAGCTGGCAACTTCTTGTAGTTGCATTTGATATAGAATGCTTTACTATTAACATCTTCTGTATCTTCCAGGAAATTCATAGTTTGATCAGGCAAGGTGTTTCTATGGATACAATTTCTTCTCAACTATCACCATGGGCATCGGCCTTATTCGAATTTCTGCCACCCTTTATCAGAAAACAGGTTTATTATCCCACATATTTTTTTAAACCTTAAATTAGCAAGAGTTCTCATCTAAAATCAATGTATTCAATGTTACAGCTACTTCTCCACCCCGAATCAGATGACTCTGCACAATTATCTCAAGTATGGGAACCTTCAATCCTTTTGGTTCTGTAAAAGCTTCTCAAATTTGTTTTTTTTCCAATTATTATTCAAGTTTTTTTCCTTTTTCAGATTGAGACAGAAAAACTTTTAGCTCATCTTGTGGAAGCAGAAATGAACAAGAGATTGGTAAGACGTGGTCATCTCTGGCTGTCCAAACTTCCATTTCTTTTTACCATTTATTTTTTCTTTGACACTTAATTGGAAAAATATCAAAAAATGAAATTCAAGAAGGCCGAAAAATATTTTCCTGCATCTCCTTTACATTTATTCTGCACGTTCTCTCTGGGTTGGTATGTATATACACAGTATACCATCTGGTACTAGTTTATGCAATTTCATATGATTGTACGTCCCCTCTATTTCCATTTCCATCTTCGTGACGGAGGAAAGGCTTAGCTGATCTGCATGGTAAGAGAAGCCCTCCATGACTTGAATAAATTTGTTTGGAAGTAAAATATGACATATAATAGGCACATGTTATAGCCAATGTTTAATCCAACAAAATGACTATTCAAGTAAATATATCAATGACTGAAACAACCCATAATCACATAAACAGAACTAACCAAACAGGAAATATAGGATCAACTGAGCTGCAAATAGTCCAAAAGGTATGAAAAAATGCTTAGAGTGGAACCTATGTAGGTGCCTTTGCCCCTCATAGGAGCAACTGATCTTTTTTTCTTTTTTTTTCCCCATTTCCTTTTTTTCTCTTTGGCTTCATTTGTTTCCGCAAATAATAGGTCTGCACATGGTCCGGTGGTAAAGTATATGGTTTAGTATATGGATATGTGAAGCCTTTGGTGAGAAGTTATCGTGTCTCTTTCAGTTTGCTTGGTGAAGAAATATCACCCTGCACCTAAAAATGAACTCTTTTTCTTCCTTGACGAAATTTATTGTGGCATTTACTGCCAAAGCAAGCAAGTCCTCTGGAAGTCCTAATCATCCAAAGCATTTTGTAGACAACTTGTGGTTTTCCTTGACTTTCATTTCTACTTTTTGTTTGTAATCTAATAATTAACTTTGATTGGTAATTTCTAACACACAGGCAAATTCAGCTGTCATTAGTTAATAGTTAATACAACTACTGAAAGTCATGTTTGAAGCTACATTTTATATTTCAATCCCCAATGCTTTTAAATACATTACTGTAAATGCCCATAATTACGTTTGCTTTTGGCTAAGCAGAAGGAAGTGAGATGAGAAAGCATGAATTAGCTCAGAACTTAGTTAACTCCAGTAAATATGTTGTACTTAATTCAGTAACATTACGATGTTTTTAACATCTCTCTGCTGGTTGATATAAACAGAAGGAAGGTACATACAAAGGGAAGAAATTTAATGCTATCTGTCATTTCTTTGGTTATCAAGCTCGGGGATCTCTACCGTCAAAATTCGATTGCGACTATGCTTATGTATGTTTCTTCTTAAGAGTATTACCTTTTCTGTTATCTAGGTTTTATGTTACATAGCCCTTCTTATTATTAATATTCATGCAGGTTCTTGGACATATCTGCTATCATATTCTGGCAGCTGGTCTAAATGGTTACATGGCAACTATAACCAACTTGAAAAATCCTCTAAACAAGTGGCGTTGTGGTGCCGCTCCAATTACAGTAAGTTTTACATGACCTTTCTATATTGTATGTTTTTATTTTTTTATTTTTTATTTTAAATTTTTTTTTATTTATTTTTTTTATTTTTTATTTTTTTATGGAAGAAAAGTGTTTCTGGTTGCTTTTCAGTTCTCTCAAGTGCTAGTTCACTCCCTTTTGTTTCTTGTTTGTTGAGAAAGTTGACTTCTTGGATTGTATCAATAAATGACAGGCAATGTTGACTGTAAAGCGTTATGGTCGTGGTCCTGGGGCCTCATCGATTGGAAAACCTGCTCTGCATCCTGCTACTGTTGATTTGAAAGGCAAAGCATATGAGTATGTCTTTATCATAATTTCCCAAAACCTTTTTTGATGTTAGATTTGACATGCGCTATCTTTACTTTTTCCATGGCTAGTTAATGTTCATGGTTCTCCTTCTCCCACCTTTTTCTTTCTTCCTTTTTTCCATGGGGATTGTTTAGTTGTTCTACATAATGGATCGAATGATAATACCAGCATTGTCTCTTTAACTGCTATATTGCTGTTTGATCTTGCTTTCAGACTGCTGAGGCAGAATGCAACAAAATTTTTGATGGACGATCTCTACAGAAACCCAGGACCCCTTCAGTTTGATGGTCCAGGTGCTGATGCTAAGGCCGTAACTCTGTGCGTTGAAGACCAGGATTACATGGGTCGTATCAAAAAACTTCAAGAGTATCTTGACAAGGTGCTGAAACTTTCCTATATTTGTTGATTTTTGTTCTTCTAAACAAATGCAATGGCTTGAGATTGATTTCTCCATTTTCTGTTGCCATCTTCTTTGTGTCGTGGTCCATTTCATATATGAATTGTGATGAGATCGGCTTACAGCAATGCACCTGAGAATTTATGGGTTGGATTGATTTAAAATACCACTATTCTTCCCCTTGTTTTTAACAAAACCAATTTCTGGCATGTCTTCAGGCTAAAAAGATCTTGAGGTTGTCTTGCCATTGGTTGTTCTTTTATGGCTCCATTCTAGACGATAAATGTTGCCTGTTAGTGCAACGGAAAATAATTGACTTTTCCCATTTCCATTGGGTGTCGAAATGTGAATAGAAATCATTTTATTTGTACTCGATGAATTTTTGAGGATACTTTCCTGTTCCCCTCTGTGCATTAACTTGTCTTTTAGTGATTGCAAAATTCTATTGTACAGGAATTTACTCCTTTTCTTCTGATGTTACTGCTCATATTACAATTCTACCTGTATTTTTATGCATATTGAAGTTTGTTTAGAGTCTTTAGACAACCAAAAGTTGTATTATTAAAAGAAGTCATGGCATAGTGGTTAATGGTTGTCTTAGTGGATAGAGATTTTTTGTTGTGTCGTAGTCATATATTTTCTTAGTGGAAAACAATATTTGGGTGTATAGGGTAAATAAATTGAGTAGGGCTTCCGATCTGCCAAGTCAAGGCATGAAAGCCGGAACAGTGGAAGATTAATCAGTTTGAGTTGCCAACAAGTATTAGACAATGACAATCAAAAAATAAAATAAAATAATAATAGTAAAAGCCACCATTAGAAGTTATATGTAGTATCTATTTATATGACCAATCTCTCTTTTTTGGTATTTATTATTGGGTTTATGGATTGATTCTTTTTCATGTAATGTATTTTTTTTCTTTTTTTCCTATATCCTTTCCCAGGTGCGGACCATTGTTAAACCAGGATGTTCACAGGATGTTCTCAAAGCAGCATTGAGTGCGATGGCTTCTGTGACAGACATTCTTTCTGTGATGTCCTCACCCTCAAACAGTGTGCAGCCCTTTTGAAGTACACATTAATAGCTCGTCTTCCTTCTGTTGAACTGTTCCTGGTGCCGGTGCCGGTGCCCGTGCCCGTGCCCCACATTACTGGTTTTTCAACTTATTTTTGTCTCAATTTTCTTTTATTTATATTCGAGGTGGACGTGTAGATGCTAATAACGAACTTGATTATTTCTTCTTTTCTTTCTGATTTTTTTTTTTTTTTAGTCGTCCTTCACTTATCTTGTGAAATAATTGAGAGAATTGTGTTGCGGTTTATGAAAAGATGAGATTTTGTCTATGTTCTATAAAAAATGTTTTGACATTTATATGCACCCCTTCATTCATCAAGGGATAAGGGATGGCTTTATTTTTCTTTTTAACTGTGGATATATCTTTGCTTTCTCTTTATTTGCCTAGGCTATACAAGAAGTATATATATTTAGCAAATACTTACTGAAGTACTACACCCACACACATAACTTGGACATGGCTACTTTTGTTATCATCTCCATTTTGTCTATTCCAGATACTATAAACCACTTAATTGTTGCTGCATTTCTTCATATGGTTAGCTCTGTGGTGTCTGCATAGGCCGTCTATGGTACGTGGGATGTGGTTTAAATATAATGCAACTTAAAAGAACGGGAGATGCCTCTGTTGTTTTTCTCATATTCATGGTAGGAAGATCAGAAATAATTTTGTTACGGTACAAAGTACAAACGTATTATATGGGAGAGGCTGGTGGTGCTGGAATTTGTTGTGCATTGGTGGCTGAGGCAATGTCTATTCAATGGGCTGTGTCTCTACTATATTTGAATCTTATTCTCAAGTGATACTCTCTGCGTTAAATGAGTCTACTTTAGCTTCTTCTCCGTATGCCAAAAATATAGTGTGTGTGACCAGGTCAAAATGACCTTCAAGTGTTGCTCGTCACTATCATTATAACATTTGAATTTTTTTTGTCATATTCACAAAAATAATTTCCAAAAGCGACTGGTGTGACTCCTAGTAAATTTACTGAACAACAAAATCTCCCGAGTTTACCCAAAAATTTGTATTCCACCCACTGTTATCATTTAAGTATTCAATTAGGGTAATTAGATTTTGGAACAATGGCATCAGCTTTCCGTGGAATTGCTGCAATTGTAGTAATAATATCACCATAAATTAATACAAGGACATACTTCAATTGTAGTAATAATATCACCATAAATTAATACAAGGACATACTTCAATTGTAGTAATAATATCACCATATATATAACTTAATACAAGGACATTTTTTTCCATGGAGATTTTACAATTGATTTGCCCCGTGAAATACATATAACTTTTCTAATGTTCAGCAAATTATTATTTTTTTTATCCGTTTTGCAAATAATTCAACATATAACTTTTCTAATGTTCAGCAAATTATTATTATTTTTTATCCGTTCTGCAAATAATTCAAGACAAATTTACTAACGCACAATGTATCACATCTTTTACTTTTCAAAATGATGTTATTTTATATTTTAAATTTTATCACTTGCATTGATAAAATCCACTACTATATTATTTAAATTTTTACTATTCGTAGTGAATTTTACTTAGGGGTGGCAAATTACGACACGATAACACGATACGAGTTAAAAGGAGTTGAGTTTGGTATAAACGGGTTTGAGTCATGAAATGATCGATATAATTAACCTGTTTACTTAACTGTGTTATGTTAGGGTTAAGGGGTTCAACTCATGTAACCTGTTTATGACCCGTTCGACTCAATATATTATAATCGTGAATATAACTTATATAATATGTTACATGTTTAAACCCAATTACTATGGATAGTTAAGTCATTTTAATATAAACCTTATTTATGACTTATGATTTTTCTTTTTTATTTTGAATATTTGGGTTAATTATGACAATTTTTTTTCTATTATTTAGTATTTGATTAAATATTAAATGTCTCGTTTTAATAAATTGGCCATTAAACGGGGTTAACACATGTACTTGTTTAATAAACAGTTGGGTTAGTATTGAGAATTTTTGACATGATTATTAAATAAGTTGAGTTTGGATTTATTTATTTAGTATAATACCCTTACATTGACACAACACGAAGACCACAAACATAAATTGTCATCCCTAATTTTACTACTGCTACTGATAAATTTTAAAATGAATATAATGAAACCATGAAAATATGTGCCCAAGCATAGCTCCACAGAGAATTTAAGTTTGGAAATCCTCTTATATTCACCCGTCTTATTATTACATATTAAATGGGCATACAATAACAATATAACTTTTCCATTTAATATAGGGTAAAGTGCAAAAAATTCCTCTCAATTATGTCTAAATTTGTAAATAACCTTCCTGAACTATGTTTTGTGTGTAAAACCCCATAAATTATCACATTTAGTTACAAAGTGCCCTATTATTATACCTATTTTTCATTAAATGACCATAATACTATTTCTTATGGAATTATACTTGATATATTTTTCTTGTTAAAATAAATTATGAAAAAAATTCATACTAATTTGATGAAATATTCTCCATTAAATTTGCATAAGCTTGCCTTTAATTTTTTAAATAAAAATCTTAAATAGAAAATTTTGAAACAATTTAAGTAATTTCTTAATTTTCATGAATATATTACATTAAAAAGAAGATATTTTTTATTTACGTAATTTATTAATTTTTCATGAATATTGTTTGAAAAAAAAGATATATATATATATATATATATTTTTAAAGTGAGTATAATAAGTTAATCATTTTAGAAAATGATAGTTACAAATTTATTTATTTTTTTTATTTTTATAATCAATTGATACTAATTATAAAATTAAGGTAAATGGTAAAATTAATATTTAAATAAGAGAAAATATAATAAATGACAATTTAATAAGAAATGATAAATTTAATAACAAAGGGTAAAATAATATTTTGTGATGAGTTTATCCTTAATTGTAACAAATTAATAGTTTAAAGGAACAATTTTTAGTTCAGGCGATAAGTTGCAAAAAATTAATAATTCAGGGATTTATAAATCCTTTAATATATTACATAATATTACAATGCTCGGTAATACTATTAAATAAGAAAATTAACACATTTACTTTATTTAATTTAATGGTGTCAATTTATATGCTATAAAATGCGGCTGATTCAGAAACAAAAATAGCATAAAAGAGGATTATGATCCATTTACCTTTATATTGGTTGTAAAACTCTTAAAACTGTCTGATTCTAACCACGTCACAGTACGTGTGTCAATTGTCGATACAAACACAAAGTCAAAGGCGTCCCCACTCTCCTTTATTTATAGACGTCTGATTTACATATTGCATCCCTAGCTATTGCGGATGCGAATCCTATCATATGTCACAGAATATTATGCTGTGTCGCGTAGCAACAAATCACACCTCAATCTCAAGGATCGACCTAGTTCCTCCAACTCTCTCTCACTCCGACTCTCCTCTCTCTCTAACCCTCAAAAATCCTCTGTACTGAGCAACACCAAACCTCTAATTCCCTACCCTCTCTCTCTCTCTCTCTCTCTCCCAAACCAGAAAAGTTATATATATATATATATATAAACCCTTCATTCTTCTCTCTCTATATTCTTCGCTGAGTGGCAATGCTTCTGTACAGCTCGCCTACCAAGATCCAATGTCATTGCTTATCGAAGGTGTCTCTGCTCTACCGATCTCCGGTCAGGCATTTCTCTCTCTCTTTCTACTAGTCTAATTTCACTAATTCCTATAGACATAGCTAGACACTCTTTGTATATGTGTGTAAATTGCAAGCAGACCTGAAAAAAAAAAAAAATTTAAGTCATGGACTTTGAACCCTTAAACATTGAAAATGAGGTTGTGGAATTCGATATGGGTTCTGGTGAAGAAGACACTGGTGTCGACTTAGAACAAGCAGATGACTATGATGATGATTACAATGGTGATATGGTCGAAAATTCTTTTGTGGGTCGGGATTTCTTCTCTACTAATGGAGACCCAAATCTTGAACCCTGCGACGCAATGGAATTTGATTCTGAACAGGCTGCTCGAATTTTCTACAATTCGTATGCCCGGCGTATAGGTTTTAGTACACGAGTTAGTGTGTACCAGCGCTCACGTCGTGATGGCTCGATCATTTGCCGGCAGATTGTGTGCTCTCGAGAGGGGTTTCGCCGTGAGGGGGGTGAAAATAAGTCCAAGCGGCAGCGTACCATCACTAGAGTTGGTTGTAAGGCACAACTGACTGTGAAGAAACAAAGTTCTGGAAAATGGGTTGTGACCAAACTTGTTAAAGAGCATAATCATGAGCTTGTGCCACCCGATAAGGTGCACTGCCTCCGTTCACACAGGCACGTATCGGGTCCTGCTCGAAGCTTGATTGATACCCTTCAAGCAGCTGGGATGGGACCGAGTGGGGTTATGTCTGTGTTAATTAAGGAATCGGGTGGAATTAATAATGTTGGTTTCACGAAAGTTGATTGCCAGAATTACATGAGCAGCAGCAGGCAGAGGACCCTAGGGAGCGGGGGTCAGCATGTTTTTGACTATTTGAAGCAAATGCAGGCTGAGGATCCCGGTTTCTTTTGTGTTGTTCAAGGTGAAATTGAGAACACATCAGGAAATATTTTTTGGGCTGATGCAAACTCTAGAATGAATTATAACTACTTTGGAGACACGGTTACATTTGATACAACGTATAGAACTAACCGCTATAGGGTCCCTTTTGCCCCGTTTACGGGATTAAACCATCATGGACAGCCTGTATTGTTTGGCTGTGCTTTACTTCTGAATGAGTCAGAATCCTCTTTTGCTTGGCTGTTCGAAACTTGGCTTACTGCAATGTCTGGTCGCCATCCCATCTCTATCACGACAGACCAGGATAGGATCATAAGGTCAGCTGTTGCGCAGGTGTTTCCAAAGACCCGGCATCGTTTCTGTAAATGGAACATATTTAGAGAAGCCCAGGAGAAATTGTCCCATGTATATCACTCGTACCCAGCTTTTGAAGCAGAGTTTCAGAGGTGCATCAATGTAACAGAGACAATCGAGGAGTTCGAGTCATGTTGGGAGTCCATGCTTGAAAGATACAATCTCGGAGGTAGTGAATGGCTTCAGTTGATGTACAATGCTCGACAGCAATGGGTGCCAGTTTATCTCCGCGATACATTCTTTGGGGAGATGTCTATAACCCAATCTAGTGATAGTATCAACTCATTTTTTGATGGATATATAAATGCATCAACTAATATCCATGTGCTAGTTAAGCAATATGAGAAAGCCATTGCCACTCGGTATGAGAAGGAAGTAAAGGCAGATTATGATACATTAAACACTGCACCAATTTTAAAAACGCCATCTCCCATGGAAAAACAAGCTGCCAGCCTTTACACAAGGATGATATTCAAGAAGTTCCAAGATGAATTAGTTGAGACTCTTGCAAATCCTGCAACAATGATCGATGACACGGGATCGGAAATTATGTATAGGGTGTCAAAATTTGGAGAAGACCATAAGGCGCACTTCATTCGGTTCAACGCCTTTGAAAAGAAAGCTAGTTGTAGCTGCCAAATGTTTGAGTTTTCAGGTGTCCTTTGTAGACACATATTAGCAGTTTTCAGAGTTACAAATGTTCTTACACTTCCATCTCAATATATATTGAAACGGTGGACCAAAAATCCTAAAAGTGGTGTTCTAATGGACGAACACACTCTTGGATTGCCTAGTAATTGTCAAGAGTCCTCCGCTGCTCGCTATGATAATTTGCGCCAAGAAGCCATTAAATATGTAGAAGAAGGGGCGGAGTCAATATATGTATACAACGTTGCAATGGAAGCTCTTCGTGAGGCTGCAAAGAAGGTTGCTACTGCAAAGCAGCATGGTCCAGGGGTTAAACAGAGCACTCTAGTTAATGGAAGTGATCAGGAAGCGAACCCAAGTAAAAATCAAATCAAGCAGCTTCAGTCTTGTTCAGTGGTCAGTTCTTTCTCTTGCAAGATATTCATTTGGACATAGTAGTTTACCAAGTGTCATGCTTTATTTATTTTTCTTTTTTCTTTTTCTGATTTCAATGATTGTTGCAATTTCTGTTATTCTTTCTTCATCGCAAACATTCTTTATTGTTTAGAACTTCCACTATAAATAGGGATTTATTCATTATTAGACTTGGAATCGTTAAGAATTCTACATTATGAGCCTTTACACTGGATCCATCATTATGCTTTCTTGGAGAATTTGGAAGCACGAATGCTGAGTGTCTTTTTTCTTCACATGGGTTAGAAGCATTTAGTGTGTTGTTCCTGTAATGGGGTTCTGCCTCTTCTCTTTGTCTCTTTCTGTCTATTTACTGTGCTTAATCAATAGTTGTTTTATGCCTTTAAAAAACCCTCGTACTTTGTCAGTGAAAAACCAAGGAAGAATGCCTTTTCAGCTAATGCATGTTCCAGAGCTGCATGAGTGGAGGCATAAATAATAAGGGAGAAGAAAAAAAATCTACTTTCCCTATCTGTTTTTGTCTTGGCTGATCTGTTTTTGTTAGTATGATCTCTCACTTATTTAACCCTAGCATGCCTCTTTGCCCGCTAAAGAAATGCTTTGAAAATAAGATGACATGTTGGTTAACCGCAGTGGTTAAAGACATATTTTTAATTGCAAAGGCATAACACAGGAAGTTGAAAACCAAGGTTTAATCTAAGTCAAATCAAAATTGAATCCACTCCAATGCAATCTTCTAGTGTTTTCACCTAGTGTTGTGGCAAAATAAACTGAGTGTAATCTTCTGTGGTTGCTAATTCCAAGATTGGAGAGTAAATTTGTCTTTCGTTCTGTCAAATTAACTGACAAATTTATGAGCCATTGAGAAATTCGTCCAGGATGAGGTTGGGCAATCAAAATAATGACTGGTCCCTCTGATGAGCATATGGAATTATAGCTGAGATGGAGAGCTTTATGGTTTCTATCATCACTGCTTTTGTGATGAGGTGAATTTTAATTCTATGAAAAAACTGTGGTGGAGGAGCATTTTTGTTCCCATGACAAGGGATTTGTGATGGATAATTAGTTAGGAATAGAATTCTTTAGGATTGGAGTTGCACATGCCAAAGGCAGAGGAATCATAAATCATCTCCTTTTGCATTGCCTGGTGACAAGGAATATATGGAGTTGGTCTCTTTCTTTTTTTGGCATTCTCTTGGTGATGCCAGTCTCGGTGAAGGAGGCATTAGGTAGGTAGCAATTGTGCTGCCTAGAAAAAGGAGAGTTAGATCTACATTGAGAGAGCCCCTGTTTGTTTTTTTTATAGTGCTTAATAAGATAAATAGGTTCATTTGATGTCTGGTTACAAGTTAAAACAGACAGTGGCGAACATGTTTACTTGGGTTTTAAGTGGATGTTCATTTTATAAGGATATCTTGTCGATTTTTTGAGTGATATGATTTGTAGTTCTGGTGCCAAGTCTAGTGCTTCTTTTTCCTTTTGTTTTTTTGTTTTGTTATAATGTTCCAATCCTGTATACTCTGCATATGCATGAATTGTGCCCCTTTTATTATGTTTGCTGCTTAATGTACTTCGTATATATACTAAAAGCTAGCCTGAAGATTTCTTCTGGTAAAGCTACTCAAGAGCTACATTGATTGTTATAGTAGTAATATTTAGTTTAGAGTCTTGTTTTTAATATTATTAGCTCCCATGCGCATCCCCATATTCTCTAAATACGACCTAATGAGTAGAATTTCCTAGCATATTACATTTTGGTCAGCTTGTCTCAAATGAGATCTGTCTGGATGTCCAGTACATTCTGGTAAGAATTCATCATCGAACATGTTAGCATCAAGGATTCAGAATAAACCTGATGAAAATTTCTATTTTTGCAGTGAGAGTGGTGACCAGCATAGGAAAAGAAAAGGGTTGAGATCAACTAGAGGATTGTCTCATTAAATAGTCACTTAATCATAAGTGTCGTGTTTAAATGAGGCTTAATCTCCTAATTTGCATAAAGCTTCTCAAATTATTTTACATTGTAATATTTTTATTGAAATTGAGGCCCTACCATCATCACTTGTCAACGGCCATCCTCCGTGCACCACCATTCACATCTTCTGTTTGCGAATGTATAAATTCACCAATGATGTCATTTTTGTCTTTTATATTTGTGATGGCAGACAACGACTTGTTTTTTTGGGTAGAAAGAGTTGGCATATTATATGTTTTTACTAATTATGGTAGAAAGGAAAAGAACAACCTGCTTTCTATCATGTAGTTTTTCCTTTGTCTCTCTTAATCCTTTCATCCCACATCCTTAAGTCTTAACTTGATTCAAGTTATTCACAATATAGCTATCTGATATAGATATATGTCTCAGGCACTTTATTCTTATTGTTTGTGTTGCACCAAAAAGTTTATGGCCGGACCGACTAACAACTTGCTCCTTTGAAGGTTTGATTTTAAGGTTTCTCTGTTTTATAAGAATTGGTTATTATTGCCCCATTACGTAAATGACTGAAAGTTATATTGTGATCATTGCATTTCTAATCTTCTCTAAACACCAGTCAAATTCAATATATTTGTTGATTCCTTAATAAGCAATGATGATTATAAACACATTAACATAGTTCTATACCATTCTTTAATTTCTTTTCTTAAGTGAAAGTGGAGAAGTTTGTATAAACCTTTGCATTTGGATGTGCTGATGCTTGTACTTTTGACTTTTAAACATGCTTTGATAATTGTGGCCAGCAAATGGTTTTACTTATATGTTGAGTCAGAGAGTGCTTGTCTCTATGTTCTGCTATGTTTGAGAATGTGATTGGTGCTCAATTCTTCCTCCCTCTCGATTGGGTTAGTGTTGGTCTGAGGTTTATCTTTATTGTCCTTTTGCACTAATTCACATAACTTCGAACACTTGGTTCACCCTATGACAATATAACTGCTGCAGTAACACATAGGACTTGGTCCAAATGTCCTAGAGATTTAGGAGATCTGTTTTATGCTATTTCTCAAGCTGTGCAATTGGAAGAAATTGGTTAATTCCTGGTTGAGGATGCTATTGGGCAAGCTGGTTTGTTGGAGGTAAGATTGTGTTGTTTGAAGCCACCAGCAACGGCAATCATGAACTAATTTTATGCAAGGATTTTACATGTTTAACTAAATTTGGCCCAGATAATGGTGCTTGGAAACTGATCTGGGTGCTAATCATCTACATTCTACATCATGTTCATAAAGAACACTTTGTCGTGACTCATGAGTGTCTGAAAACTTTAATGCTCTCTACATTTGAAGATTTTCATAAAACGGCACTGTAATTGACACATAGCATTTGTTCAGTGTGCAACTAGACATTGGAACTTGTGTTAGCGTGTGGAACTTACCACCACATAGACTCCCATGGGAAAATATATTTTTGGCAAGAGTTAGAGAAATGAGAGGGCAGCTTTTATACTAAATAAAAAAATAGTTCTCTGAAGTTGGGATAGTTTTGGAGATAAAGGAAAGAAGAAGAGGAATAGAAGTTTGAAGTCTTCTCTGCACATAATTTTCCTAGCTTCTTTTGTACAATTTAAAAAAAAAAAAATTTAAAATTTTCTACTGTTCTCTTCTCTTCATTATCTATTTTCTCCTCACTTCATTGGAACCAAATGAATTGATTATGATGAACATTAGGTGGTCCAGTATTATGTGAATTCACCTCTTTCTGGTTACTAAATTATTTGCTATTTGTGTTACGTCTCTCTGGTTACTTGTGTCAAATACGAGCTCTTGGAGTAGAATTTGCATGCATGAATTGGAGAAGCATTTTTTACGACATTTGAGGAAAATGAACTAGATACTGCCAATTTGATAAAACAGCTCAGACCTTCAATGTCGAGGTTGGTAATAGTCGTCTGATGGTGCGTTATTTGCATGTGTTGTAGTTTTAGCTCCAATCAAACTTGTAATGTTTTGTGAATTTGGTAATTGTAGGTTAGCTAGAAATAACAACTTTTCCTTTTCTCCTTTTTAATCACTGTGTATCTTAGTTTTGTGACAATGTGGTAAATTGTCTGAAACATTTTGCTTTTCTTTTCTGTTTGCAGACTCAAGACAAAACAGTTCATGAATTGACTGCTGAGTTGGAAAGTGCAAGTCAGCGATGTGAAGCATATCGAGCAAACCTGCTAGCTATCTTGAGGGACATGGAAGAACAGAAGCTAAAGATATCGGTCAAAGTTCAGAATGTGAAGCTCAATCTAAAGAGTTGAATTGGAGGGTTGATGGTTATGTCATCTTCATCCTTTGTGTATACTAGCAACACTGTAAGACCCAGGCTTTGGACCAGTTTAGACTCCAATGCACCTCCCTTCACCCTCCATTGTTATATAGTTTCCTTTTTTTTTAGATGCTGACAGAGGATAGAGTGTACTTGTCTAGTCTAGAATTAGATTAGTTAGATATACTACTGTAGATTAGTTAAAGCAGGCTGAGAAGTTGAGTAGCTATCTGGGAAGGACTCCGCCGTTCTTCATTTATTCATTTGTTGTTCTCTGGTGCCTTCTTCACCATTGTTTGTATCTTTTCTATATATTGGGACAAATTATAGTGAAAGAGCCTACGTTGTGTTGTACATCCATCGAAATTAAATTTGTCGGGGGTATCGCTGTTCATTAATGTTCAATATCTGCATCAAAACTACGTTCAATATCTGCATCAAAACTACATTCGATTGGATTGTGTATGTACGGATGCCTTATTTGCCTACCATGAACTCTTCAAAACCCATACATTTTTTGCTCGTGTTTTTGAATGTGCATTTTTGTATGCCTATATGGTGCTGTAAAATTCCATGTCTAAATGATGCTATGCTTGAAGAAACGACCAGTGGGTGAAACTTTTTAACTGAAAAAGAATCAAATGAAGCCTGAACAAGCAGCCAAGTGAATTGTATTAGGAGTTGAGAAGAAGATAGTTGCTGAGTTAATTACCTTTTGTACTGGCGTCGAATACCATTTCTGCTGTATGATCAGCAATTTTATTGTAAAACCATTTTGATTGAAAAGGGTGAGTTTGGGTGAAATGGTAAGGTTGCTTCAATGTGATATTAAGGTTATGGATTGTGTATATCTAATCTCTCTAGATTTTGCAAAGACGGAGTCTGCTCCTGCAAGGTTTTAGTTTGAGCAATTTTCAATTTTGATTGAAACTTTGAAACAATTTAAGGGTTGCGAGCAATAAACACTCTTATGGCGTGCATATAGGGTATATAACTCCCTTATAGGTTCTTAAAAGTTCCTAATCTTTACTTTTGGCGAACGATAGCATGTTGTTCGTATAGCCATTAAAAGACTAAAGTACTCTTATGTAACTAAATAAAAAAATGTGAAAAACTAAGTAAATGTAAAATGACTAAGATGTCTAATCCTAAATATAAAGGATATGAGTGTAAAATGACTAAAATGTCTAATCTTAAATATAAAGGATATGAGTGTAAAATGACTAAAATGTTTAATCTTAAATATAAAGGATAGAGTGTTATTTGTCAAAAATGTAAACATTAGAGGTGTTTTTGAAAGGTGATATATATATATATATATAGAGAGAGAGAGAGAGAGAGAGAGAGAGTGAGGGAGACTTGCAGTGAGTGGAGTAGGGAGAGACTCTGCAGAGAGAGAGAGAATTTGGGAGTAGAGAGAGAAAGAGGGAGATGAGTTTGCAAAAGATAGGAAACATTATTTATATATAAAATGGTATAAGGGGCATTTTGGGAAGAGTAAAATGGTGTTTTAAGAATTATATAATTTAAAATAGTCATGTGCAAAGGGGCATTTTGGGAAGAGTAAAATGGTGTTGTAAGAATTATATAATTTAAAATAGTCATGTGCACATGACTTTTTAATATGATTATTTTTTGACCGAATATAGACATTAAGTCCTTCTTTATCATATTTTTCAAACTTAACGGATTTATATATCCAAAATAAATTATATGGGTAATATTTACTCAAAATGTAAACACTTATAAGGGTGTTTTTCTCACTTTGTCCAAATTTTAATTGTACACACAGTAAGTGGCTACAGAAATAATTTTAATTGTGATTTACATGCACAAGCCTAGAGAAATAAAATTGAGTGATATCGCTTAAAATTTCCGATCTTTTATTTATTTATTTATTTTTTCTTTTAACTCTATTTTTTGAAACAATTTTCATAATCACAAAGGGTTTTAGGCTTTAACCAATATGGTATCTCGTTATCTTTTAAATAGAAGGTTGAGAGTAAAGGTAGGACAATAAGAAGTTCTGTGTGATTTTAGGTACAATTTTAAAATAAATAAATAAATTTTAAGTTTTTTTTATACATATTCTAAATTTTGTGTAAAAGAATAATAATAAAGAAATGTCTTCAATTTATTGAAAAAAGAAAAAAATATTTTTATAAGTGAAAGATTTACTCAACTTGTCACCATATTTATTGAGAAATTATTAGATGGTTCTGGATCATTAACATTTCGTGGACCGATTAAATACAGACTCTTAAATTGAAAAAATGGTCCCACAAGAATATATTAATAAATTACAAAGTTTCATAAACGAAAAATTATTATTAAATTAGTCTACTAAGTGTGAAATACAACAAACCATTTAATAATTTTTCATACTTATTTGTGTTGTTATGTCGTTCGGTGCAATGGTTCTCATTGAGCGTACCAGCTCAAGTACAATACGCTGAAGCAAGGCCTTCACCGTTACACCCAAATGACACCGTTTTGGTGCGTTTGGGTGCACGGGATGGTGCACAGATCCGCTATGCACAAGAGGAGATCGTTTTAGAATTGAGATGGTGCACCGTGCACGCTTGACTGTTTGGAAAAAAGGTTAGCTTTAAAAATGGTCCGGCCCATCTAGGAGAAGCGCGCCCCAAAACCATGTCAGTACTAAATTGCAAAAACAAAATTGGGGCCCATGTATTTCCCAGTTCAGACTCACATTTGAATTTCAAAAATTGTTGCCGTTAATGACCCAACAACGGTTATATAATCAGCATAAAAAGCACCCGTTCCTCTTGGCTAATTGCAGTACTAGATAGAGTTTTCTTGAAAACCCGAGAGTTTTAGAGAGAGAAAGAGAGCTTTAGAGAGAGAATATGGAGAAATCAGCGATGGAGGCATTCGAGAAGCTAGAGAAGGTCGGAGAGGGAACGTACGGGAAGGTATACAGAGCCAGAGAGAAGGCTACGGGGAAGATCGTGGCCTTGAAGAAGACAAGACTCCACGAGGACGATGAAGGAGTCCCTCCCACCACTCTCCGTGAGGTCTCTTTGTTGCGAATGCTTTCTAGGGATCCCCATGTCGTCAGGTAACTTCAATCTCGTGTTTTTCACGATTCAACTACTCTTTTCTTTGATTTATTGGTTATATGTGGTTCAATCATGTGAAATGGATGTTTTCTCATCATTTCTGTTATTCTTGCTTGTTTTCTTGAACTGTAAACTTTTTCCCCTGCTTTAATTCGCTGGCTAGGTTTAGGGTTTGTGCTTTCTTGTGGATGTTTGTCTCTGCATTTCAGTTGTTCTTGATTGTTTCCTTGAACTGTAAACTTTATCCCCTGCTTCAATTTCTAGGCTAGGTTTAGGGTTTGGGCATTTTTTGTGGATGTTTTCTCTTCATTTCAGTTGTTCTCGATTGTTTTCTTGAACTGTGAAGTGTATACCCTGCTTCAATTTGTAGCCCATGTTTAGGGTTAGGGCTTTTTTTCGTCTATTTGGTTTTCTTTCATGTCAGGGAATTTTGATAAACACGCATTTTGTGTTTTATATGAATTTGTTACAATCTGATTTTCTTGAGCTTCGTCACTTTTTCTTTTTTTCCCCTTTTATTTATTTGGTCAGATCTTTTTATTCAATCAATTAGCATTAGTTTCTGGGAAACATTTGCATGGATGAATCTTTGAACAATTTATCTCATGCTTTAAATTACTGTCAGAATCTGAGCTATTTTCTCCGGGGCTTCTTAGTCCCAATGTTAAATTTTGGCCTCTTCTTGAATTGATTCATGTCAGAATCAGATAATTTTTTGTACCTGCTGATATTCTCTTGATTTCAGACAATTTTCATCTTCTTTGGTTTTTATGGCTCAATTTCTTACTCAAATTGGGTTTAAAGTACAGGTTAAGTTGTTCCCTTTTAAGTCTCCAGGATCTCATATACTAGTACTGTTTGATTTTTTTTGTGTGTGATATGATTTCTATGCACAGCTTACTTAATCATTTCCTGGTCTTGCTTTGTTATTAGAGCTGAAGAGTTTATTTCTTTTTAACAGATTGATGGATGTCAAACAAGGACAGAACAAAGAAGGAAGGACTGTTCTCTACTTGGTTTTTGAGTACATGGACACTGACCTCAAGAAATATATTCGAAGTTTCCGTCAAACTGGGGAGAACATTCCCACCAATACTGTCAAGGTAAAAATGGTTTTGAGGTTCTTCAGTTCTTTCTCATATGGTTTCTTACAAAGTTTTTGTTATAGTTACTATATTTGCTCCACATACCTGAGTTTTGTTTGTGAGGTACATATTGTGACACATTTTGTGACTTTAATGCAGAGCTTGATGTACCAACTTTGCAAGGGTGTTGCATTCTGCCACGGTCATGGTGTCTTACACCGGTAATAGTCTGTGTTCATTTCTATCTTATATCACCGCAACTGTGTTACAGCAATTGTTAAGGCATCAATTCCTTTTTCCTGTAATCAATCATAACAATAAGAAAAATGCTAATCCTTTTTGTTTCTTTTTTAATTCAGGGACCTCAAGCCTCACAATCTTCTGATGGACCGAAAGACAATGATGCTTAAAATAGCAGATCTTGGGTTGGCTCGAGCGTTTACCTTGCCTATTAAGAAGTACACTCATGAGGTTGCTATGCTTGTTTGGTTGTCTTTTGCTAGTCAGTAACATATTCATAAAATGTAATCAGGTAGATGATAATTTGTGGGTAATTAATTATTGTTGCAGATATTGACTCTTTGGTATAGATCTCCTGAGGTTCTCTTGGGTGCTACCCATTACTCGACAGCAGTTGACATGTGGTCTGTTGGCTGCATATTTGGTAAATTTTAGCTTGATAATTTATTTACCAGAACTAACTTATACATGTATATATAAGCATATGTAACTGCAAAGTTATTGACTTTGTTTATATGTTTAATTTGAATTCTAGCTGAGCTAGTCACAAAGACAGCACTCTTTCCTGGAGACTCTGAACTGCAGCAGCTTCTGCACATTTTCAGGTTCGTAGAGATAACATTTAACACAACCCTTTTGCCATTGTCGGGATTTTATTTTTCTTTTCCGATCATTCTTTCTTATCGTTATTTCTGTTGGGAATTCAAATGCAGGTTGTTGGGTACTCCAAATGAAGAAGTTTGGCCAGGAGTAAGCAAGCTAACAAACTGGCATGAATATCCCCAATGGAGCCCTCAGAAGTTGTCATCAGCTGTCCCTAATCTGGACGAAGACGGGCTAGACTTGCTATTGGTAAATTTGAACCACCCCTTGTTGCTTGGTTATTTTGGTATAAACAATCAATAATGTGTACACAATTTTTGTTAATTTCCTTTTTTTTTTTTTTAATTTTTTGTGTATTTACACTTTCAAATTTGTGTTTGCAGAAGATGTTGCAGTATGAGCCCTCAAAGAGAATTTCGGCAAAGAAAGCTATGGAACACCCTTATTTTGATGATGTGAACAAGAAGGCCCTCTGAAAGAAATACTTTGACCCTTGAGCTGAATCAGCAAGTAGTTGGACTAGGTTTTTTAACTCAAGTTTTCTGTGGTGAATTTTATTTGCTTCCCTCAAGCATTAGCTTTCAGTGGTGTAAAAATGTTTCAGGTTGATGATCACCTTTCATCTAAAACTTTAATGACTATTTTGAGAAGGGAAATTGAAAAATTTTATAGTGTTCTTTTTTTTCTCTTCATTATCTATTGTCTCCTCACTTCATTGGAACCAAAGAGCTGGTATTTGACACCAAGTAACAACACAAATACCAAATAATTTAGGAAGCAGAAAAAGGTGATTTCACATAAAACTGGGCAAATAATCTATAATCAGACAATCTTTGGTATTTGTGTTAATTCGGTATTTGTGTTGTTACTGGTTCCTAAATTATTTGCATGCATGATTCTAATGTTAATTTAGTATTATATTACTAGAAAACTTACCAACCAAGAACTATAACTTGTGTCTGCAACACTTGCTTTATTAATGTTGTCAGGTACCATCATTCAAATCTCTCGTGTTCTTTACGGTTCGGCCAATCATGTGAACTTGATGTTTTCCCTTTATTTGTGTTGTTCTTAATTGGTTTTTGGACCGTAAACTTCATCCCCAGCTTCAATTTGTAGGCTTGGTTTAGGGTTTTGGGCTTTTTTGTGGTCTATTTGGGTTTTGTTTCGTGGGGGGGAATTTTGATTTAGTGAAATGGATGTTCTCTCTTCTTTTCGGTTGTTCGTGATCGTACTCGAGAATTGTATTCTTGATTGAATAAATTATTAAATGGATCGATATAGATCTGCTGGTCTATTTTTTACAAGAATGTTAAATGAGTATTATCAATACTTTGACTTTTGAATTAATTGCATCTGCATTTGATCAATGTCACTTATATGCAAGTAGACTTTTTATTTTCTTTCTTTTCAACACTGTGGGTGTTTAAAATTTTTGCATCCACACTCCTTTCGAGTCTTTGACATATGAAAAACATTTAAATACTTTTTGACTAGTAAACAATTACGTTCTTTAATCATCAAATGACTAATGGTCATTTTCTAACTAATTTTATAGCTGAACAGTTAAACGCGAAATACAACTTAAAATCAAAATATTCATTTTATATGATTTAGGTGGTTTAAATTTTTACTTATCATTGCTCACAGTTTTTTTTTTTTTATAAAAAATATAGGATTGAGGAAATCCTAATTTTCTATCTAACCAAACTTCAAATTTTTTTTTATAATTTCTTTTTGTTCTATCTGAACAAACCAAGCCTAAGGTAATTAAATTTGTCATTAAGATTTAAAATCGAAATTGGATCATTTAATTTTCCCTCTTTAAATTTACCACTATTAAATACTCTTTAAATTTCATATCTATATATGCATGCGTGTGTGCGCGTGCGTGTGTATATATATATATTTCTTTTTAAAAAATCTGCATCTGGATCCTACCAAACTTTTAGCCTAAATGGCCGTTTTAGGGTTTATCAGATAAGTTGTCTCTCCCATCTTCCCACTCGAATCACTCCGCGCATTGGATTGTCACACTCATACCTACTGCATCCATAGCTTACTTGGCCAAAAGACAAAAAAAACCTATATCCCTTTTCTTTCCCACCCCAAAACCCAAGAGATTACAACAATGGGATCAAGAGCTCGCACCACAACTTACTCGAAGTTCCTCCCTCAAATGGCTGTTCATTCTCTCGGCACCTTCGCTCCTTCCAATTCCAAGTCAGATATTCCAACTAACGGTTTCAAAGAGTTTCCTCAGGCCGAAGGTAAGACCGTAAGAAGGACAGAGAATTCAATCGATTTCTGAAAGAAGGGCCAGCATTCCCCTGCAAGGTGATGAACCACGAGAAATATACGAGGTTAGACGTGCCGGATATCCGGAAGTGATGGCTGAAGCTGTTGGTTGAAGACAACTCTCTGCACGCCAAGGCAGTGGAAGAGGTGAATGATGATCCTCTGCCCACTGAGGAGTAATTACTATGGTGAAATCGACCTCCCTCAGAGCTGCTACAAGCTCAATAACTTTGTGTTCAACATGAAAGTAAGTACTATTTTTGTAGAATCAGATATTAAGTTGTTTTCTGTTAGGAAGGAAAACCATCCTTTTCATAAGAGGGGGCAAGGGGCGAAGCCTCAATTTTGAATTGGGCCAAACTAAAATTTGAAACATTTATAATATCAATTGTAATATAATTTTTATAATGGTAGTCTTGGTATATCTATTGAGGAATATATAATTAAAAAAAATTAGAAATATAAAAGCTAGATAAATAGAGATAGAAAATTGATATGACTAAAGAAAACACATACAGAAGGAAAAAACAAAAACAATGACAGTGTGTGTGTGTGTGTGTGTATATATAATTTGTGTAGATGCCTCGATAGCCTAGTGGGTTAGTGCCTTCTGCATCTACTAATCTAACTTCTAACAGACATTTTTTCTGGGATGGAGGGAGTATATTTTTTACTAGTTGGTACTCACACACTTGACACTCATTTGAAGAGCTCCCTTCTCCACCGGCCAAGTGACTTACCCAAGGAATTATATCCCCATTCAAGGAATTGTTTGCACCCAAGAGGGGTCGAACCATAGATGAGGCGCCAGGCCAAGTGACTTACCCACTTGAGCCAATCCCTTTGGGGTAATAATAGTTGATATAATTTAGGGTTTTATTTATCATTACATGGACTTATGGGTCCTATTCACTATATCATGAGGTCAAATTCAACAAATAATAATAGATGGGTGTTTGACCTAACTATTTCATATTCATCAATTTACTTTATACTTTCGTGTTTGGACCACACAACACTATATATTACTATAATATATGCCCACCACGCTCCTTCATAATTCGTTAAATATACTAACTTTTAAGAAGTTAGCATCTGGTTCTTTCTCCACTTCTGAGGTTAGCAACCACCCCTTGGTCGGACTTTTATCCATTGAAGAACTATTCTGTATATCCTTACACCAACACCAACACCAACACCAAAATGAAAATTGCTTCAAGGTTTTCTATGGAGTATTTAGAGGAGTTTATGGAAACACACTGACTTATTTTATTAAAGGAAATCTCAGTACATTGTACTTTAACACTCTAAACTATTACACACAAGCTTGAAAGAAAGCACTACTGCACATAAACTTAAAAGAAAGCACTACTACAATATCCTATTTCACTCTATGGCTTTCGATGCTTAAAACAATGCCGGAAGAGTGTTTTTATGCACACGGCTTGAAATGGATCTCAAATCAAATTCGGATTTGAAATTCGATTCTAACATTATTGCAAAATGACACTCTTTCCAGCTAATTTTAGCTGTTGGACGATATTTTTTTCTGTCTTCTTTTGGAGCCTCTGAATTTTCCATGTGAAGTGGTCCTTAAGTCTCCATTGCATTATTGAGGTTGTGATATTTTTCCTCTATTTCCTCATATTCGCCATCGTCATCACGCCTGTCACCCATTAGCTCTATCTTTTCAAGATTTATGCATTCCTCACGGACATCATAAAGTTGCTTTGTCCCTATAGTGTCTTGGATTGCTTTATACAGTTGTATAGGTGGGGATGTATCAAAATCTACAACTTGTATAATGATTCTCTCTTTAGATGTAGATGTGACAAGACCATATATTGGGTTTTTTTTCTGAGCTATTTTTTTAAGCGAAGTTTTGATGTCATAGAGGCCAAATGCCCTAGTTGTTCGAATGGAATCAGAATTAATATTTTCTGGTTTTGATGGATTTTAAAGAGTTTCTTCTGTCCTAGTTCCATTTTGAAATTGCTTTTCCATGGACTTCGTTCTAATCTAGTTAAGTGAATGCTTGGGTAGAAATTCAATCCATCCCATTCGGGTCCAGCTATGTAGACCTAGCTTTTGATTACTTGTCCATGATGCTACATTGCAACACAAGCATCTTTGAGGCATTGAGGCATATCCTCAAGCTAGAGTGGTTTATCATATGACATAGAGTCCATAAAACTATTTTCAAAGATCCATGCAATGAGCTTTTGATCATAAGGAACCTCAGGTCGCCTATCGTAATTATGTTTTCTAAAGATCGCGAGTCTGTGATGGTCTGAGACACATCCCTTCATAATTGACATATCTTTTGGAGCCACATAATCCCATAATTTGTCAAAAAAATTCTGTCCATCTTTTCTGTCCAGTTTGCTCCTTGTTCATAATATGATTGAACGCTTTATCAGGAAGTGTTTGATGAGCCTCTTGACAATGCTCTAATCGAGCCCCAGTAGAGAGCGTTGCCCATTTGAATAGATTTCTCTAGATTCTTTCTTTTGAGCTGGAAACTGTCTTTCAGTGTTGAGATGATTGTTTATTCTTACCAAATGTTCTGCTAGTCAGAGATTTGTTTCCTTTCTCCCTTTCCCTGTTGACCAAATATTGCCGAGGAGAGTTTTTTGAAATAAATTCAATTTCTTATTTGTTTTAAAAACAAACTTTTCATTTAAAACCCTTGGGATAATGATATTGCTATAACAAACGATTTCAGATGTTTGGGCTTTTGATATACTCTTTTATTATTATTTATTTATTATAAATAAAAGTATATTAGAGCGCGTTCAAGAGGGAAATGCATCCCGAAAGCTATACAAGGGCCAAAGCCAAAGAGATGGTCCTAGGGACCCAAAAAATCCACAATATCATCTAAAGATATATAATTTCTCCCCATCACCCAATTTCATCTAAAGATATACAATTTTTTGACTCGTTGTGGAGGGAGTTTTTCCACATAAAAATCTGGTGTGCATCTCGTACTTTATTTTACTGTGCTTTAAATTGCTGTAAGATAATTATGTTTACTTTTACCAAGCATGATTGGATAAATGGATGATGATTTACATGATTAGTTAGTCTCGATCAAGTTTGTTTGTTTGTTTATTTGTTTGAAGCAATTGCCAGAATACTTAAACTGAATTATCAGTTAGTATTAAGGGTAAATCTACTCGTTGTTAATTGATATCAAGGCAAAGTACCCCAACTGAATCATCAATGTATTAGAGCTTAAATAGTTTTTTAATTGAAAATTAAATTGTTGAAAATTGGTAAAGGTTCCTTTAAGACCTACTCAGGTCTATTTGGGTAACCGTGATTAGAACGATCGTGCTAGTGGCAGCGGTGGCAAAGGTGGCGGCAGAGGAAGGCGGTGGTCGAAGGCAGCGGCAGTGGTGACCATGGCAGTTGTATTTGGAAGTTGGAGCAACGTATTTATTTATTTATATAAAATTTTACTTTGGAATGGAATGATCAGTAAGAAGTGGAATGACTCGGAATGGTTTTTGTGGGAATGTAACGACCCACTCCACCACATGGTATGATATTGTTTGCTTTGGGCCTGGGCCCGCACGGTTTTGCTCTTGGACTTCACCCCAAAAGGCCTTATACCAATTGGAGATGACACACTTACATATAAGCACTTCACCTTTCCCTCTCCCAGGCGATGTGGGACTTGTGCACCCGTAACTCGCCAGTGTGGTAGCCTGACAGTGTCTCTCGCACCCGCCCACGGCACACCCGCCCACAAGGTCATCACAATTATTTGTAACGACCCACTCCACCACATGGTATGATATTGTCCGCTTTGGGCCTGAGCCCGCACGGTTTTACTCTTGGGCTTCACCCCAAAAGGCCTCAAACCAATTGGACTCAACACACTTACATATAAGCACTTCACCTTTCCCTCTCTCAGGCGATGTGGGACTTGTGCACCCGTAGCTCGCCAGTGTGGTAGCCTGACAGTGTCTCTTGCACCCGCCCACAAGGTCATCATAGGGAATGACCTGGAATGGTCATTCCAACTGTAATTTTTCGTACCACACAAAAGAAAAGGTAAAAAATGATGGAATGGCTCCCGCGTACCAAATGTAGCAATATAGTAGTATAAAAACAAAGAAAATAGAAGAGGTAGTCTCGGCTAGAAGAAGAAGAAGTAGGTTTCCACACCCTACTTTTTTTTTTTTTTAAATTTTAAATATTGTTCTAAATTGATAAAAATAAATAATAATAAAAATAAAATAAAAAAAAGAACTAGAAATTTTAGACAGTTGATTCTTAACCTGTGAAAACATGAGTGTAAGGTCTTAAATTTCTTTGTCAAAGCATGAAAATGGTTGAAAATTTGTTACGACTTTGAATATAGTCTTGTGATGGAAATATGAACTGAACACTATGGTTTAGGGCTGAATTTACCTGACTTGGGCTTGTTACTTGCCATTGAAATTATGAGATATTAAAGTAGACTGATTGATGAGATTGTGGGATATTATTTGACTTAATTTCGTTGAGTTTTTTAATTTGTTATGGATTTTTGAAGTTGGATGAATTCTGCTGTGAAAACAGATTTCTAGAACAGAAATTCTCCACTGTTGTCTTCAAAAACTAACATGATCTATGGGGCTAATTATAAAAGCAATTTATTGATATTAAAGTATGGTCAGTTCGCTTTCAAATGGCTTTTGTTTCATGTAAATTGGGTTAGCATACTAATTTTGATGAATTTTTAAAGAAAATCTATCTTTGCTGTGAACTATATTTTCCAGTGCATAAAATAGTCATTATTTGCCCTCAAAATTGAATTGATTGGTCAATTTATTTGTTTTGATTACATGTTCATTAAAATAAAGAATGTTAGCTTTGAATTGGTCCTAGTTTCAGATAATTTGAATTAGAATTCTAATTTCTATGAATTTTTAAAGGCAAACTATTTTTGCTGAAAAATCTGTTGATGACAGTACATTTGAATAATTTTATTGCATATCTAAAGTTTAATTTTAAAGATGAAATTTTGAGGGATGAAATTAGACCTATAAAAGTTTCTCTAGAATTTTATTTTATTATTTAATATGAAGTATTTGATTTGGTGAATTTTCAAATGTGAGTTGTGGCTGTGGAAAAGGATGATTTGCTCATGGGAATCATGTAGATTTACCTACTTTAGTATTTGAGTAGTTTCTCAACTTTGTATGTGTCGCATGAAATAGGTAGGGTAGAAGTTTCCCTTGGGTTGAAAACCCC